CCATCACCTATACACATTTTAAAAGCACTAACCTGCAGTCACACCCACATGTTAGTCTAATCTCCTGCTCATACCTGCCAGCATCTTGCCAAAAATGGATCAGGGAATGAGGGACATTTTTTATTTCCTCAGTGGCAGCGCAATAAATCACACACACGTTCACTTTTGCTCACACACACACCAGTCTCGGCAAGTCAAATGGTTATCCATTTTTAATGACACATGGACAACTTGACCTAGTATTGCTTGGCTCTGTGTGGGGTGTGTGTGGGAAGTGTTTCGTAGCAGTAAGAGGAGAGACGCAAGCGAGAATGGATGCCTGGTCCTCCAAGCAGTAAGCCACAGATGAGTCATTTCACCCATGTGATCAAACACTCATGTAAAATCAGTCAAATGCACGGTACAAACAACAAGACGTCTCAGATTTAATAAACCTGGTTTCACACCAATATATCTTTAAATTTTGAGTCAAACAGCTAGGAGCTTCACCCCTCTTGAGGTAGATGTGGCCTTTTTAAAAAGACATTAATTAATCCTGGCTCTGATTTGCACACAACTTTTCACAATGTAATATAGACATTTCTCCTCTGCTAAGAACAACATGTATACCTGTGCTTATAGCATAGCTCTGAACTATATATTGAACAGTGATTGCCGTCTCTACATAAATACTTAAATTTTGCAATGACAAAGGACTGTCTGGATACAATAGTTGGAAGTATATTGAATTTCAAAAGGCATGTAGTCAAAATTCTTGCAGCTCAGCTTTCAATTAGCCATAATTAATTATTAATTATTCCATAATTAATTACGGGGGTGAGGTGTTAATGCCATTAACACATTAACAAATCATAATTAACTATTACTGTAGTATATCCATACACCTATCAACTCCCATGTGTTGGTTTTCCGATTTGGTTAATTTTGTTTAATCATAGGAAACCATGTCCTTTATTTTTCCATAAAATATCCACTATTATAATTCCCTTACAAACATCAAAACCAATATGAATTTTATGTCATAGTTTTTCCTCTTTACCTTAATACTAAACGATAAAAAAATAACTTCAAATTCAAACCTTTTGTCATCTTTGTGGGCGAGTGAGCAGTATACATCCACTGACATGAATGTGATGGCCTGCCTCCTGGGGAAAACACAAGACAAAGAAACGGTTGAATTTTTATTTTATTTTCACTGAGGTTTTTTTTTTTTCTCTATTTTGTTGCAACAAGATGCAAAAATGTCAACCTATCTGCTATTTTGACGCCATAACCACTAAGTGAACACTTAAACTGCTAAACTTGTCAAAGCAAAAACCGTCAAAATTGTTTCTTTATATAAAGTGATGCGTAATGCATCGCAAAAGCGCCTTTTCCATTGTTTTTTTAAAGTTGTATTTTTAAAGAGAAAAAACTAAGGACATTTACCTGCATGAATTTGTAGTTAGTCTGTACCTCAGGTACATGCATGTGAACAAAAACTCTACATTCAAACATTCTGTCACAGAACAAGGATATGATTGCCTGTCAGCACCCAGAAAGTGCCATTTACACAAGAATTGCGTGCATGTGTGTTCCTGTAAGCCACAGAAAGAGATGACTCACTGTTGTCATGGGGAATAGTGAGATTTGAAGGTTTTAGTCAGGCATGCAAAACACTCATTCAGGCGATCACAATTGATTTGAATCAGTACTGCAGGCTAATAAATAGACCCACAGCTCCTGTATGTTTCACGGTACGGCTTTAAAATATACAGGTGTGCAAATTCAAGGGAAAAAAAATAAAAATAAAAAAATAAGACTGTAAGACCAATGAGAGGCAAAAAGCAATCAGCTACACTGAAAGACAGGTAAAAACAAGTAGCATTTATGCAGAGGGGTTTGATTGCAAGACAGCTGAGTGAATGAATAGATGACAGACATCTGGGAAGAGCAGGAAGCCGAGATTCAGAGGGAAGATGTTGAATAAATCAGGGAACAGAGAACTAGCACTGACTAGACAGTAAACTCTAGGATGCAAACTTAGAAACACAAAAAAGCTCAACACAGACTGTGACATCACCACGACTACCAGACTACACATGTACCAAAGAATATAAAAAGAACATACTACATATTAAAGTACAGAAGAGAAAGTACAAAGAACCGTAAAACTATAGAGGAAATTGAAAAAGAAAATATGGAAAGCCAAGAGGGACAAATCTAAAACTAAAGTAGAAAGTTCCTCAAACTCCCAAAGATTATGAGATAATTAGCAGATTTGGGGAGGGGGATATGCTCCAAAATCAAACCAGAGGAAAACCTGGTTTAACTCAGTAGGGACATGTAAAAAAAAAAAAAAAGAATGTGAAAAAAAATCTATTTATCTGAAAGAAGAAATAAAATCAACATCTTGAGCAATTAGGTAGTATTCAGTTTATTCTGATGCAATATGCTGGCAGAAAAAAGAAATCACCTTGACATAAAAAGGTGGAGATTTTTATGTGGATTCAGATAGAATCCACTGTGAAAAAAGAATGGCTGAAAGACCTAAGATCAATGTGACCCCAATGCTTCTCACAAGTGTTTATGAACCTCTGACCGACAGTTTAAAAAAAAAATTTAAATCCTGTATGGTTTTATCCAATAATAGAATATGTCCTTGTTTTTCTGCCAGTTATGTCTTGTCATTTTCCTCACAGAAGGAGACAGATTGATGAGAACACACTGGGAGGCCACTGAGAGCGTGTTTGGCCATGTGACATGCTGTGGACATTGATTGAGAGTGGGAGAAGACAAAGAACCACAATGGCGGGAAAGAAAGGGGTCATTGTCAGCTGCTTTGATGTGAACACTGATACAGAGAAGGAGTGGCAGATGACAAAAGGAAGAAAGAGAGGACGTATAGAGAATACCCATTAAAAAATGTTTTTTTCCTCCGACATCTTATTAAAGCTTCCATTTTGTTGAATTTTAGCAAAAAATTTATGATTCATCATCACAAGTCTCCTAATAATGGCTTTGAAAGATCCCCAATGTGCATGGATGTTGAGACAAAGCTCGGGAGTACAATGAAAGACATTGGCTTCCCTCCATCACAAAGTCCTCTTTGTACCAGACTGAGTAAAGTGTTTGTGGTAAGGAATAACTGAGGAAAAAGAAAGGGATGGAGAGAGCCTCTCTAGTCACAATCATATCCCTACTGTCTGTGGTCAGCAGTGTGGGGCGAGTCTGTGTGGGGAAGTGTGTGAATGGGCTGTAGGCTGAACGAATGAAAGGCTGGTGGTCACCCTGCTGTCGTCATTCATTTAGCGATGGCTCTTCAAAATGCAGCTCGGCTTTAAAAATGTCGATGCAGGTTTCATATAAAACCTTCCAGCAGCAAAATTGAGCCTATCGTCTTCATTTTGAAGTGCATAGGAACAGGAATTGTGTAATGGAACAATGTGCTCTGATTAAAACCTTTTGAAAATTTAACAGGAGACAAGTTGAAATTAAACATTATATGTCAAGTGTAAGGAGAAAGCTGGAAGATTTGATGTTCTGTTTACCTGGGTTTTTTATCTTTTGCTTTAAAATGAAAGGAAACCTGCTATGTTCCCTGTAGTGAATACTAACCTGCTTCAAATGAAAATGCCAACATGGTTGTAATATTATAAAGTGAGAGATAATAACTGAGGTCTTTCTAGATCACATTTCATAGATCACATTTCATTCCGATACCAAATGTTATGGTAATCCATGTCACTGAAACTCCCAAATGCTTTATGTAAATGTGTGCAAATGTCTGTGCAAAGCCATGTGTCATCTGTTTCGAACTGAATCGGTGGATGACAGTGTTTACCCTTGACAGACTCTGAATATCTGTACCAAATTTCTCCATAATTCCAAACTCTTGCATGGATCCACTGTGTATGAAATCTGTCATTCTGCAAACCCTATGAACACAGTGACAGATGGACATCAGAGTTTGGCTCCGAGATGTTTTACTGAGAAAAAAGTGAATTTTTTGCTTAATGCATGCAGCGTTTGTCTTTTATGAATGGAATATGTTGGCACTTCACGGAACAACACAGTGATGAAATAAGGGAGCTTTTTAAGCATGACAACACAGAGCACATAAAACGTGTCAATCACGGATGATGTTTTGCATACTTCAGAGGCCAAAATCTTGGTGTAAGTGTTCATGGTAGCTATGGAGGACCTACGGAGATCCATAACTCAGGTGGGTGAATCTGTTGACAAGACAGTTGTTTGTTGGGGCAATATGGAGGAGTGGCAAGAAGAAAGACATTTTTTGAAAAGGCACCATAAGGAGTCCTGATAAGAGATAGCCACAAGCCACTTGGAAGACAGTACATTTGGAAGACATTAAGGCTAAATATTTTTGGCCTATATGCATGTGCATTTCTGGTATGAAACCAAAACTACAACAGAATGAACACAGGCAATCCAATTGAGAATCTGTGGCAAGTCAGGAAAATTAAAACAAAAACAAAAAATCACCAACCTTGTCTTCCAGTCTTTAGATGGAAAAGTCTGACAACACACCATACAGTCTGATCCCAAGACAGCAGATCTGAAATACCAAAGGTTACAAAAGTTAAGGATGGCTTACAACACTGAAATCTTCACCTGCGAAAGCTGTTTGGCATTTCTCATATCTGGCCGTATAGGAGAAATGCCAAATACAGTCCTGTTGTAATCCGCAGCTTGTAGATCGAAATTCAAGCAAAGACATGGTGTTGCATTAGACAAGTGTTAACAGTATCATGTTCATATTAACAATGCATTTCTCAAACTAGGCTTATATATTGCTCTCCATTCTAACCACCCAGTTTACAGTATAGTTATGTGACTGTCTCTCAAATCAAATCAGTGACATAACAGAGGCGAGTCGACTTTAACCTTCACTGCATTACCTTTTAGTGTGTAAATACTTTACCATGGTGCCATTTGCTGGTCATCAAAGCAGCAACAAATATAACAAAGGAATTATTCAAATATCATAGCACACATTAGTAAACTCATAATGGCACATTTTACACATGAACCACCAGCAGAACCAATTAAGAAAGTTATGATTATCACACTGTTCCATTCAATGATTATGCTGTGTGTGTTGCATTATGCATGTATTATCAGCCAAAAATGGCGGCTTTTGTCCGTTTCCATCCAAATTACAAAAAAATTAATAAAAATGCAGTAAACGCAGTTTTCTGGATCTTTCAGTGCAAATTCACAGTCTGCTGTCACTGTTTCTTAAGGTGGAGAAAGAAAAGTGCTATTTCTACAGTCAAGTGGGCAAGCTTGAACAAAAGTGCAGTGTGTTTTGGCTCAGGGGTGCGAATGGTGGGGGTCCAAATCGACAAATCTACCCTGCGTCAAAAGGAAAGCACACACACCTACACACTCAAGCATGTGCACACCAAAAACAAAGATGGAGAGGAGAAACAGAACAGTCTGTGAATCAAAGTTGGTGTTGTTCACTGTGCTACAAAAGACAAGTGAAAACAGGAAGGAAGTCAGGAATGCATTCAGTTAGAGCTTGGACCCCTGACAACAGTTTCTCCTGGTGGTTTTCAATCATGGCGTGTATTGTTTTGTGTGTGTGTGTGCAATCCTCTGTGAATGGATAAATTCAGGAGGTCTGAGCAAGGTCAATGTGGGCGGAGTTAGACACACCACAGCCTTGCTCTTTGCATCACAACACCTCCTCTGATAATTCACTTGGTGATTCTTTGGGCTCCATGGCACTTTTTCACTGTTTTGCCTTGTTCTTTTGTCTGTCCTTTTAGCTTTTTGCTTTTTGTTCTTGGTTTCTTTTTTATGATGCTTGTTGGAAATGGATTTTTCCTCCCACTGGGAATACAAATGACCAAAGCCTATTCCGAGCACCACCAGTCATCCAGAGAACTGCCTGAAGCACACAGCCACCACCAGCAGAAAAAAGGTTTTCGCTTTTAGTTTGTGGTTTTTTTTTTTTTTTTTTTTTTTTTTTGTTCCTGCTTTTGTAGGTTTATAGATTCAGGCTAAGATGTATTACTACAATGCCTGGAAAAAGCATTCATAGCTGCTGAACTTTTACACATTTTGTCATGAACCTCCACATTCTTAATTGGGCATTTCTGAAACATTTTCAGCATTTTCATGCATTTAGCTCTTTCAGTCAACTCAAACCAGATTTTCCACAGCATAATACCGCCCCCAAATGAAGGGAAATGGTGTATTTAAGATCATGTTTAGTGTTGGTTTTCTTCCACGAATAGCATTTGAATCTAAACCAAAATGTTGGGGGTGTGAATACATTTTTCAAAGAGCTATGCGTCTGCATGTTTCACATAATTTCCTGGCTGGACATGGAAGTTACTGTTGTAGAAATGTGTTTATTACATTTGCAGGTGAGGTGTAATGATAAGAGGACCACAAATTGTCTGTTTTTTTGTTTGTTTTAAATAAGAAAATCAAGAGTCCAGTTATTCATTAAAGCATATCTGAAGAAAAAAAATCGTATTACATAAAGACTCCCACTTTTGTTTTAGTTATGAACCACCCTAGAAGAAGCAAAAGGTTTGGCAGGTCTTGTTCTTTGGAACATAACCAAGCAAGCTTTCAAAATAAAGCAAACAATGCATGTTTCCAAGCACACCCACAGACATTTTGTGTGAACAGTGATGCTAATTTGTCCAAAGAGCCTTGAAATTCTTTTCTCATTGGACTCAGAAGTGTGAGGACATATGGTCTTTCCAGATGGTCGCCAAGTCTGTCTTTTCAAGGTGAAATACTGAAATGTGAGCCAGGTGAGTTTATTAATTGTATTTTGTTCCTTGGACAAATAAGAATTTTAGTTTTTTTTGTGGGGTTATTTTTTAAGAAAAAGGAATCCAAATTCTTTATGCATTCCAAGAGAAATAGCTAGAAAACCATGATACTGCATCACATCACATTTAGTCACTACATCCAGTCAGTCCATGAAGGAATTTACACCCTCATGAAGGTGTGTGTTAACAACTCAAGAAAGAAAATCCTCAGCAGTGACCGCAAAGAGGCAATTGTTGCTGCTCATTAATCTGGGAAAAGTGATTTTCATTTCCAAACACTGAGAAGTCCACCCTACTGTAAAAAGGATTATACACAAGTCGAAAAAAATGCATTACATTTGTTCTGTCAAACTGAACCAAAGCATAAGACTGCAGCGCATAAATATTCAATGTTGAAGGAGAAAAATCTTGAACAAGTAACACTTGTGCCAAAACATTGCCATATGTGTGTAAAAAGATCATGGCTGCACAACTTATATTTGCAATGATCTACCTGAATCAACCACAAGATGCACTGCAAAAACCAAACAACATATTAGGACCTGATGCCAACTGTGGTGAAAAGGTGATGATTTGGGGAACAATGCCAAGCAAATGTACTAAAATCTTCTCCAAAAACAATCCAAGTACATTGGTCCAGTTAAAATGCAGTCCACAACCTGAAGGAGAAAATATTGCAGAAATAACTTGCATAAATAAATGCCTAAAAGCCTAATTTTAGAGATCCAATGATATTTTTAAATCCATCTTTGCTTTCCAAATGTGGCCTAATCAAAATGTTGAAAGTCAGATGTGGTTAGTGAATTTGATCAGCTCTTTCAACAGCATTTAGAAAGCAGTGGACACACCTTTGTGAAATCATCATCACCTTTTAACCACATTTTCACATTTAGAAAAACTTTGAGTCATCTAAAACTTTATTTTGAACCAGTCATTGGTGAATATTCTGGTATGCCTTGTGTGATGCCCACTGATGTGTGCCCACAAAAGTGGAAATAAAAGGTTAATGATGGGTGCAGTAACGGTGTTTCATCGGTAGGGGGCGCATGGGGATTCAGAGCTGCCTGTTGCTCTGTCGTTTCTCATAAGTTGAGAAAATGGAGTAACACACAGACTGCGTCTCCCGTGTGCTCACACAAATGCTGTTTTTCAGCTTCATCATCGGCTGCTAACGGGTCTGGAACCCTGGTACCCGCTACACCTGGATCATTGTAC